ATATATAAACAGTATACACACACACACACACACACACACACACACACACACATTTATAAGTGTGTAGAATATGTGAGCAGATTTTTTGAGACACATGAAACTACGTCTTTGACAGAACCTTATTAAATTACACTTCTTACTGAAACTAACACTGGAAAAACAAAAGAACTCTTGAAGCACTTGAGTTGTTTTGCATTTTAATATCAAGACAAATAGTTTATGAAATAAGATTTATTTTAAAACATACAACAGGATTTTATGTATTGCATAAAAGGCCTTTAATTCTGTGCTGAATTTCTAATGCATTCTCTCCCAGTTACCTTCAAAATCAGACTGAGACTGAAAGTCAAACTTTCTTCACCATGCTTCTCAATAGAAATTGTTTTTAACAGCTGCTGGAAGACACTCAGCTGAAATATGACGAAAGAAAAGGCAAATTGGTGGCTGACTGGGATCAGTTTTAGTTGTCAAAAGCAAATTAGTTTGAAAGGATCACATTGGATTCCTGCATAGAAGGGAAACAGAGTGCAGAGGTCTGGAAATAATCCTGGGTCGACACCCGGCATTTAGGGGCTCCACGTTCAACCCCCCACTTGTGCCATACACAGACCCCAGTGTGAGGTCTGTGATTGGCTGAAGAGCTTTAGTGAGGGTGGTGTGATTCAGTCATGTGTTTGAATGGTCTAAACTGGAACCAGGAGAACTGAACTGGTTTCACACAGTTTGCAGTGAACCCTGAAGTTGTTACTGGTTTTTAGTTACTGGTTAAATTTAGCTACCGGTAATTCTGTCCTCTTGTAAGTCTCACTGTCATCTAAAAGTGACAATTAGGTATTGAGTCTCTGTCATAGAGGTAATTAAAGAGTTCAACATATTATTATTGAAATGTCTAGCATCCTGTGTGGTTGTTATGTAACCACTGAGATCGTAAAAGAAGCATTTTAAACTTACAGACCACATATTGCTGCAGATCCAGATCAATCCTTGACCATGAACCTAATAAACTTTGTTGCAACATCCTTGGACTTTTTGCATTTTTTTTTTTTTTGAAGAAGAAATGCCATGGCCTTTTCATAACATTTCGTCTCCCGAGGCTCCACTCCAATCTTTGTTGCATCAGTTTGAAATGAGACAGCCGTCTCAAAGGTATTGCAAATTACAGACGACATCGTTTGTAGTGAAATCAAACTAGCATCTTTTCCACAGGCAGATGTGCCAGAGCTCCCTCTCACTGAAGAAAACTGTTGATTTCTAAATGCAGATTTTCTGTTTATACATAGACGTAGTCTGAGAATGTGAGGGAGCTTTTGTTCAAATTAAGACGTCTAATGCACCGATTAAACTGTTCCTCTTTCAGGGGAATCATCCTCCATCTTACGCTCCGCTTTCCTGAACAGTTGACCCTAAGTACTTGAAATCCTGCATCTTGTTGATTTCTGCTCCTCACTTTTCCATCTGTCCTCATTCACAAGCCGTGTTTCCATCAACATTTTTTAAACGCATTTTGAAGTATGGCATGAGAAAAGCTGGATGGAAACGGCAAAATTCGCACAAACTTTCTTAGTTTTGAAAAAAAAAAAAAGTTTCACACTTGCTTGAGGTGGTTTTCTAATTTTATGAAAAATAGTTAATGTGCAAAAAGAGAGAAACACATTTGCAGAATAAGTTCTGACGTGGTGAACATTTATCTCAGTCGGCTGTTCCTGTTGTCCAGTATTTGTAGCGAGACTGCTCTGCGGCTGCAGCTGGACCCTCCTCCAGCTGTCGACATCTTCTCAGATATCCCTGTAACGTGAAGAGAATTGCATTTCTTTCTCTAGGTCTCCAGACAGCATGTAACATCGCCAGAACTAGTTGATGTGACAGAACAATTACAACTTTCCTGATAGTAGCAACACCTTCCTGATAACTTCTCTTCATTGTCCTGAGATGTGTGTCCCTGCGAGTTTGCCACTTTTATTCCTGTTTACTTTAGCATGGGTAATGTCAACGTCTGACGTAATTACTTTGTGTAGCCTGGTTCATTTGCTCCAAGCCAGTTGATGGCAACACATCTGATTTACATTCTCTTTTTTTTTTTTCGACATTTAAAAAATTCGCTAAAAATTCACATTAAAAATGAATGCAAACATGGCTACATACTGTACATGTACTCTGTCTTTGTCATGGCTGCATACCCCAACCTCTTTAAGTTCTCTTCCACCTTTTCCCTGCTCTCGATCACAATGTCATCTGCAAACATCACAATCCTGACCTCATCTGTTAGTCTGTTTATCACCAGAGCAAACAGGAAGGGGCTCAGTGCTGATCCTGGATCCACTTGCGCCTTGAAGTTATCTGTCGCTCCTGCAGCACATCTCACCAATGCTGACCTCATGTGGGCTTTTTGCCCGGCTCGGGACGGCCTAGGTCTAAACCCAGGTTCAGCTTGTTTAAATTTGCTCTCACAACCCAGTTCTAAGTTAAAGAATTGAGCAATTATGTTTCAGTAAGGTCAAACGTGCGATGAACAGCAGTGATAAAATTAATTTTATTTCGAAACATCAAATCAAAATGAAACCTAATGAATTCCTTTTGTTCGAAGGCTTAAATTATTCATTTGCTCTTCGCTGAGTGACTTTCATCAAACACACATTTCCAGAGCTGATTTTAGCACAGGATGAACGTGGCTTTAAACCACATCACAGCGCTGCAGCTCTGACAGTTGTAAAATAAATAGACTCAAGCTGACCGAGCCACATGCTACAGCTTTTATTTGTTCCTTTATGCACTAAATGAAAGAAGATGTTTCAGGTCGTGACAGTGCTTACTCCACTGTGTGCACATTAAAGTGTGTTTGACAAAAGCGAGAGGACAATAATCCTCATGCATGTGTGTGATTCTAAACACCTGTCCTTTGTCTTTGTGTGATAGTCCTCCCACACATGTCGGCGCACACAGGTGGGTTCTGTGGTGCGGAGCATCTGAACGTCCTCAGGCGAAACCTAAGTGCCAATCAGGTACAGACCACTACACGCTCCACCTGTCTTTCATTTCTGTTTAAAATTTCCTCCGTTTTGGACACTTTTTATTGTCAAAAGAACCTTTCCAGCTCAGTAATGATAGTTGGTGTTCTGTAACTATTACTGCACCAATGATGCAACAAGGACTACGTCACAGCGGAAGAATGTCATAACATCAACACAATTGTTTGTAAAATACCAACCTGAAAATGGCATCTTAGCGGGTAACCTTGACAGTGTTGTAAAATCTTAAAAACAGCTCTTAAAAACATGTGTCGCACGCATCAAACCCCTCGGGTACCCTTTTATAATCGTTAACCTTTGACCAAATGGGTGGTGGCCTCAGAGTCTATTGTAAAATGTGGATGTTGGATCTATTTTTAACAACATGTCCACCGGTGGAGAAAATTTCCACTGTGGTCCTGAAATGTCCTGAGCAGATGTTTTGCTCAGATGATTATGTAAAGTCCTCAATATTTCAATTACTGATATGTTAACAACATTTACCTTCATTATCCAACCAGGCTTTGGGATAAATATTGCATGGAGTAATATTTAATATACAGCATGCACTAAATTTACATAATTATGGATGCACGTTAAGTTTTGTACATGGAATATTAAGGGCTCCAATAATGTCATAAAGAGAAAAACCATCCTAAATTGTCTAAAAAGGGATAAAATGCTGATTAAATTTCTCTTAGAAACACGTTTAAACAATGAGGAGCAAAGAAATTCTCTTAGGGCATGGGTCGGCTAGATTTACTTCTAATATACTCTACAAATAAAAGATGGAGTAATTATTTTAATACATAAAAAGGTGCCATGTACTGGGAAATGCTGCTATAAGGACGACAATAATAGGATTGTATTAGTAAATAGAGAATTATATGGGGAAACAGTGTTGGTCAGAAAAAAATATGTACCTATTGTTCATGATGAAGAATTATTTGCCTCTTTAATTGGTGAAATTGCAGATATGGACTGTTCCAACAGGTTGTGATTTGAATTGTAGTCACTTTCCCACAGTCAGGAACCGGCCCCATAATAACATTTTCTAAGTAAAAAAATGAATCCATCAGACTTAAAGAGATCATCTGCTTAAAAATCTACCACCCATCAGTGGTTTTCTTCCTTCGAGCCTTTCTGTGTTCTTCCACAGGAGACACCAGTGAGCCGGTCCAGGAGAACTGTTGATGAGTCAAAGACCAGCTGCCTGCTCCACCTCCACGCTGACCACCTCTACTACAAGAGGTTCAAGTCTGTAGAAGCTGTTGTGGCTCAGGTGAATCATTTACACGTGTTATGAGCTGGTGAAAATTCTCGGTCATGTAGGTCATGATCAGTTAAAAAAAGTCGGAAAAATGAAACAAATGGACATCTGTTCTGAAGCTGAAGATATTTCTCTTCCTGTTCAGGAGGTCGTTTTTATTCAGCGACAGAAATAAAGTCCAGTTGTTTTGTTTTTAACTTTTTTTCTTCGATTTTATAAGTAAATCACCTATTTTGTTCATTTTTAGCCATGAAGTGTTAGATTTCAATTTTTACCTTAATGGACTCAAAAAGACTTTATAGCCAAATTAAACAATCAGAAAAAGATGGAATGCCTCAAGCGAAGGAGTTCAGGGTGATGGTAGGATAGAATAGGAGATGGTTCTGTGAACCAGGGCTTCATGAGTAATGAGAGATTTGGTTTGACTTGTTGTGAAGACAAAAGAAGCTAAGTGGAAAGGCAACATTCTCAACTGACTGGTTCATTTACATTTCAACCCTCAAGTGAGGTCCTGAGATGTGGATCATTAGAACATCGCAGGTACAAGAGGCTGAAATGAGCTGTGTTTGTAGGGTGGCCAGGCTCAGCCTTAGAGATGAGGTGCTCCATCATCTGGGGGGAGATTTTGGATTGTGCTCCTTCACATTGAAAAGAGTCAGCTGTGGAGGATCTGGCACTGATTAGGATGCCTCTTGGACGTCCCACTTGGAGGTCGTTTTGGGCACATCCCATTGGAAGGAGACGATTAGGCAGACCCAGAACTAACATCGTGTGAATCCTGTCTGGCCTGGGAACACCAGGCTGGATGGATGGATGGATGGATGGATGGATGGATGGATGGATGGATGGATGGATGGATGGATGGATGGATGGATGGATGGANTGGATGGATGGATGGATGGATGGATGGATGGATGGATGGATGGATGGATGGATGGATGGATGGATGGATGGATGGATGGATGGATGGATGGATGGTTGGATGGATGGATGGATAGATGGATGGATGGATGGATGGATGGATGGATGGATGGATGGTTGGATGGACTTAATTTGTGCTCACAAAACAAAATTATGATTATGATTACGGTTATGGTTTTATGGTATTATGGTTATGATTACTCCATTCACCAAACAAGAGGTTAATTAATGTAACTTTTGATTTCTAAGTTTCCAGTATGTATCTAAAGTTGGACAAATTAGAAGCATCTAATCTGGCTATAATGTTTCTATTTAATAATGTTGCTCGCTGACCACTGTGAGGCTGAATTAAGGCCCTGATGCACCAGTCCTGAACAAACAGCTGTTGCATCATGTGTCTAAAGTACGAAACATCTTGAGAACATGATGTCTTATGGAGCGTAGACATGTGCCAAAGTGTGACTGTGAGCCAAACGTCTGCAAAAGATCTGCAAACAGTCCAACTGGGTGAATGCTGACCCTTGTTTGTTCCCTCTGCTGCTCTCAGTGTTTAAATTCATCCTCCAGCACAAAGTAACCACTGAAAACCACACTGACAAAAACAAGAACCAGCTTAGATGTTTGATGGATTCATTTATGACTGTTCTGGACATGATGATAAAAACAAACAGCCTGTTTAGGACAATCTGTGTCTGATTAAAGAATTGAATCATAAAGTCAGAGGACATAAAATTAAATATTGGGTTCCAGTAAAGTTCATTATCTTGATTATTTCTCATTTTTAAAACCACTAAAAAGTCTTTGACTTTTGTTATAAATTTGATGTAAAATATAAGCCGAGAGTTCCATTTTTATCTAAATGTTATCAATAGAAGATCTCAGCAGTTTAAGTTTATTTTTTATGAGTCGTCTTCATAGCCAAAAGGCAAAAAAAAACAAAAAAAAACAGACAGTGGTGTTTTATCCTTCGTGTTTATAGGATTACTGGATGGATTCTAATGAAACTCAGACATTAATGACCTTTAGATGCACATTCACTACTTAATGAGTCAACCTAATAAAAGATGCCTGCCACAGTTAATCAACTTAAGCAAACATAAAACGGTTAGTCAGTTTTACAGATACTGAGCTAAAATTTGACATGGTAGTAGCTGAGAGTCATACTCGGTCATCACCTGAGTGGGGAATCTTATAAAACTATATTTTCTATTTAATCAAAGTGACTATATTTTGTCATGTCTCAGTATAAGGTGATCCTAGTTTCAAACTGAAAGGTTGTGAGTGATATGCTTTACTTCAGGGAACGGATAATTTGAGTATTTGATGTCTTAGTGCACAAATTGTTGTGTGTCAGTTTAGTGCTGTCTCTTCTCTCATGACATCCTCTGGCCTTCCTCCACCTTAAACATGCAAACTTTTTGTTGTTCCTATTTCAGAGCCAAACTTCTGTTGTGCTGGGAATCAAAGTAAAAGATAAGAGATGTGATTGTGATAGATGAACAAAATTCTGTCATCAGTTTAGACATTGTTGAAATGTTAGTTTTTATGGAAGTTTCCAGCAAGCCTCCTGTTGTATGAACAGCACTACCCAAAATGAAAACACTCTGTAGATTGCCTCCATTTTCCCAAACTGGCTCCAGTCCCACCGGTTTGAGCTAATCTGGCTGTTGTGGTACTTCACTGCTCTAAAATTTGGCTCACAATTTTTAGCTTCTCCTGGCACTTCACCATCATTTGGAAAATCTCTAATTTTTAGCTTGCTCCAAACGTTCATGCATGTTAATAAATTACGTCATCCAGGCCAGTTCATGTAGCTCCACTGGCCAATCAGTGACTGCTACATGCTTTGGATCCCTACATCCCAAATGGTTTTGGCACCACAGTACTTCCTCCAAGGAGGTTCCACAAACCGGGCCAAAAAGGGGTGACAGTGAAAAGACCAAAACCTGGTGTGGAGTGGGGTGGAGCAAAAGAGAACTGAGCCTGTGGAAAAATGCCTTGCCTGACCCTCCCTGCAGTCTGCACACAAAAGTTCCGTCTCCATTGTCCAATCTCATTCTATTCGGTTCATGTCTGTTCAGTTCTGCTCAGGTGCGCGTAAGTCTCCATGACAGTGTGTCCCTCACTCTGTGTGGCCTTGATTATGGGAAGATCGTCAGCAGGCAGCTAAAGCCAATGTAGTTTTAAAAAATGGGGGGGAAAAGTTTTGGTTTTATCGTCCGGTAATCGGACTTTTTTTTTGCGGCACTTTCTATAAATTCTTGCGAATCGTGGACGGGCAGTTCGTCCAAAATCTCCTGGGATGTCTGCTCATTTCAGACAACGCCATCCAGCTCAAGCTGTATGCGCTTGTCTCCTTCACCTCTCTCCAGAAAGAGTTTGCTGGAGGTGTTTACAAGTTCTGCCTCGGCTCAGCCAATCCACCGGCAGAAGTCTGCTCATATCAAAATCGCAAATGTGCAATACCCAGTTTCACTCACAATGGAACCACTGTTGAGGTGATCTTGAAAGTGCAGTTGGAACCAGAAATAGAGACACATTTGGCCGAGGCTGAACCAAGGAGAACTGCATACAGGCACGCCTGGAGAGGGGTGTTCAGAGAAGGACTCACCCCTATCCATACTGGGGTAGGTCAAGCGGCCCTGGTGTGTTTGCTCTGTCAGGTTCACAGTATTAAGTTGTCCTTGCTGCATCTCTCCATCAGTTTGGGTATCCCACACTGAAAAACATTGAAGACCCCTGATCTGGAGGATGTTTAGTTGATTTGGTGGATGTTGATTTGTTGCATCATTCACAGGTTTCATCCTACTTGCGGGCTGTGAATGACATCTACAACAAGGCTGACTTTGATGGAATCAAGCTGATCAACTTCAAAGTGAAATCCCTTCGTGTAAGATCCTTGTGTTCACAGATGACAAAGCTGTCAAATAGCAATTGTTTTTAAATCAAATACATAAAAGGATAAATGATAACCCTTATGAGCTTCAGAGGAAATTTTACCAGAAATATGCAGCAGATTGTGTGTCCTTGTTAGTAAAACGAGTAAAGGAAATTTGTTTTCTGTGCAGGTGATGACCAAAGAGGATAAAACAGACCCTCTGTCTCCTCTGTTCATTGGGCCTGAGAAGCTGTTGAGTCTCTTCTCTGAGAACAACTGGGGCAACTTCTGCCTGTCGTACCTGCTTACTAACAGGGACTACAGCGGAGTTCTGGGCCTTGCTTGGGAGGGCAAGACAGGTAAGTCACATGAGTAACACAAAACACATTTCAAGCTTTCTCATGAAACTGACAGAATGAAAAGTTTGTTTTAGTTTTCTTGTGTGGAGAGGGGAAAATCTAAGGAATTCTTTGTTTTTCTTGGTTTACACTGTGAGGATCTATGAAAACATCGATTTGTCTGGTGGAGGATTTGACACAAAATCTGTTTGGATACCAGCAGTAGTCACACATTTGAGCTGTTTCCTTATCAAACATCTGAGTGGGATACAAAACTGTGGCCTTAATAACCCTAACAGAAATCCACAAATGGGGAATGTCATATTTATTTTTAAGTGATAATATTGACACAGCTTTAATGTCCAGGAGCATGATTCTCGCTTGATGCAAGAAGTGCCGGGTTCAAATCCCGGACGAGCCCCCATTAATGTTACACCCCAGCTCAGCCAGGAAAAACAGGAAGCAAAATTCAAACAGTATGGAAAGAATTTATGAGAATTTATAGGAGACTGCATGTGTGAAAGGTGCAAATATGAAATTTGTTTTTCAGAAACGTGTCCTAAACTAACAGTGAATCAGAGTAAAACTGTTGGGGATATTATATTTGTGAATTTGTGTGGATCTGTCGAAAAACAGCTTTTTCTCCTCACTGATTGACAAAACTTTTCTGCGTCAGTCCTAACACTGCTACGCACACCTCCAGTTTCCATCCATCCATTATATTCCGCTTGTTCCAGGTCCCGAGGGGCAGCAGCTTGTGCTGGAGGCCCAGACCTCTGTCTCCACAGCCTCCTCTTTCAACTCTTCTGGGAGGATTCCAAGGCATTCTCAGGCCAGACAAAAGACAGTCTATCCATCATGTCCTGAATTTTCATTGAGGTCTCCTCTCAGCCGGACATGCCTGAAGTCCCTCTCTAGGGATGTAATCAGGAGGCATCCTCACCAGATGAACCACTTCAACTGGCTCTTCTGAATGTGGAGGAGCAGCAGCTCTACTCTAATCTCTCCCGGTTATCCGAACTTATCACTCATCTCTAAGGGAAAGTTCAGCTACCCTGTCATTTCAATCACCTCATAGTTTTCTTATCAAGGCGGAGGAGTGTGTGTGCCTAAATGATCCTGGGAGCTCTTCTGTCGAAGGCAGTAGAAATGGGCCCTGGTAGAGTATCACAAAGCAGACTGGTTCTAGGTGATAGGCCAGACAAAGAATGATGAGACTTGTATGGACGGGAAAAAATCAAGATACTCAATGCCTCTTGCCCAGTCGTAGGTTACCTGGGCTCCTCTTTTGAGCCAGGCCTGGGGAGAGGCCAGTCGACGAGCGCCTGGTGACCGGGTCTCTACCCATGGTTTCTGGTCAGGCTCAGCACAAATGAGCAACGTGTGACACAATGTTACCCTGGCTTACCAAAGCTGAGGTAAAAACACATCAAAGACCATCCAGAAAAAAACTTCAGTGTATCTTTTGATCATTCAAGGTGAGCTCAATCTGATCAAATTGCAATGAACAGTCTTTAAACGTCTATTTGAGGGTCTTTTATTTTCTTCAATCTTAAACAAAGCATTGCTCTTATCTGTGTGTTTGAATTCATATTGTCTTATTACAGACAAAATTCAGCAGAAGTTGGAAAAAACAGTAAGCAGAGAAACAATATTTTTCTATGAGCCTCTCAGGATAAAATTGGAATCAACTTCAATGAACTCCTACTTCCCAAATGTACCTGCATGAGTTCAAAGTGTTCAGTGACCTAAATACACAATGTGAACAAAAACAAGTGTAAAGCAATCATTGCAACATCAAGCAGTCATGGTGAGGCAGTCTGTGTGTGTGGTATTATTATTCCTGTGGAAGGAAGTTGGTTCTAATGCGGGATTGTTGTTGTTGGTTGGTTCCTCCTGCTCGTGACATTGTCTTACACAAGGCTTTGGATTGGTCAGACCAGGGGGTGTGGGAGCAACAGACCACCACAATGACGTGATTGTTGTGCAAACACACACACAAACTTGTTTTTATATCCTTGTGTGGCCCATCCATTGATTTCCATTCATTTCTTAGTAATTTTACATCCTAACCCTGACCACCAACCCTAAAGCTATCTTCACAGGTGTACCTGACCTTAAAACTAACTTAAACTCAATTCACACCTTGGTCCTAAACCCAACCCCCACACCCAAAATCAGCCTCCGAAGTTGTGGGGCCCAGGTTTTGGGCCTCACAAGGATCACCCGGTCCCCACGAGGCTGCATTTTCCTTAAAACCGGGCCCCACGATGTAGGAAAAACAAGGACACACACACACACAGTGGACTAAAAGTGTTGGTCCAAATGTTGGGACTTTTCAGTCTCATGCCGATGGATAACTTTTGACCTCCAGAATCAGATACACTCGTTTCTCCACTTACTCCAGTTTATTAGTGGTCTTCGGAAATGCAAAGTCTGTAATTGTAAGATCATAAACTCCAAGACCTCTATATGGTTCCAGGAGCGGCATCAGAAAACACCACTTTCATACGTGAGCTCTACCCCCTAACCCACAACAACCATGTGCTACATGGACACTTCTGAGTTGGGGGGTGGGTGGGTTTCTAAATGTCTCAACAAGTTTTCCAAACCAGTAAAACTCTGCTTGTGCTTGTCAACTGAAAAGGATTATTTTTAATTATAAATAATATAGATTGAGAACAAAAAAATAAAGACAAAATGTTTTGTTGTTTTTTTTTTACCTTGCTTAGAATTTGAAAATGCTCAAGAGAATCAAATAAATTTGAACTACAGGGTAAACAGTTCATATTGTGTTATCTAAATTAGAAAGTGTAATTTCATGAAGGAATGCATATTGCTTGCTAGAATGTAATGAGTAGGGGTGTCCGATAGTTCTTCTCAAACCGAGTATGCCTACTTCAGTTTGGGTACTCGACGATACCAAATACTGATAGCAAGTATTTAATGAATTAGAACTTAAACATTACACAATAACTTTAAAAATACATTTCTTTTGTTTAGAACAAGACGACTCTCCTTTCTTATAGACTTACAGCCCATCTGACTGAATCAGATCAAATATACAACAACTTTTTAAAATAAACATAAATAACAAATTCTTTCAACTTACATAACTTTCTTAGACATAGAACTGACAAAAATTTCCTCTTGAAACATAAACTCTAACATATTCAATGGAGTTTCAATACCAATATCCCGGTGTTGATACTGGTATAGTGGTTCCAAGTATCAGGGCATTTTTGTACAAGTACTGTTAGTGTAAAGACTATGTGTTTGGGAAGACTCGCAGCCACTATCACACTAAAATTTAATGATTTAAAATGTATGGAATTAATGTAAAATGTATGGAATTATATCTGTTTAGTGTTTGTTAAATAACTCTAGTGGCCATATTGAATCCTCAAGTTAATCAGTTTAAAGGTAATGGAGTTTCATAAACTAGTCCAGTGCACATAAGCTATTTTGCTACCAGACAGACAAAGGCACACATACAGTATATATACACTAGGGCTATGTATTGGCAAGAATTTAGTGATATAAAACATATCATGACATTTTTGATGTGTTGTATCGCAAATTTTGCGACACTGTAAGCAAATCTATATCTTCGCTATTTTTTTCTCCAAAATAAGTATGTTTTCCAAAACTCAGTGTAAAGAGCACACCATGCATTGCACTCATAAAATCTCATCTGACCTTTAATTAAAATTGATACAGTGCTTTCAAAAATCGATACGGTATCAGGAAATGAAATATTGCGATATTTCAGTGTTTCGATATTTTCTTACACCCCAAATATACACCGGCTTTTATGACGATGGGCAGTAAATATTCAGTAAAAAGGTCCAATTACAGTAACCTACATTTAGAATTTTTGGAGTTTGTTTATATTTTCCCACATCCCAGCATTTCCTTTTTGAAAAGCCTCATTCTTTCAGCAAATACACACCGTACCTGTTGTTGCTCCCTTTGAAACGTTTTGTTTTTATTTACACACTTTTCAAATGGCTCACATGATGGATCTAAACAAGCCCGTCTAAAAGGCTTCCCTCTGCATGGGGCAGGAACAACAGCAGGCCAACGCATACAAATCTATCAGGGAATGTTTTGCAGAACTCGATGGGGGCTTTGTTTACAGTTTCCTGTTCACACATTCAGAACACAGCAGGATGCTTTCCATGTACTGGATACGCTCCTGCTGTGTACTCCAGAGTACTGGAAGTACTGCGGAAGTGAGATACAATACGTAAAGTACTCTGTGGAAATCACATTTCATTTGCTTCAATCAAACATTTTGTTCTTGCCTTATGTTTTGTCACCAGCACATAAACTGTCCATTTCTCATACATGAAAATGATCAACGTTAAGTTGGATCCTTGTTGCATTCCAGTCAGATTAAGTCTTTTGTTTTCATCACTGAAAAAATACAAATCTTAACTACAGAATTAATAAATGCTGTTCAAATTTGTACAGAACATTTCAATGAAGAACCAGGAACAAAAGCTGTAATGGAAAAAGATAATAAATGAAGCTCCATTATTTACAGTAGCTACTGTGTGCCTTGCAAGTTAACGCTGCCGTGAGAACTCTGGGCAACAGAGAGCAAGAGCTTCATCTGTTTTTGTTATTAGTTGTGCTATTTAGACACGCTCACTTCCCCATATATGTATCCTGGGCAAGACCGCCTCTTACTATTGTTAGTTTTAACCATGAATGTTATCTACATACGTAGTGCTTCCTGCGTGTTTACCTCTGTATGTTTGCCTGGCATGTTAGGAGAAAGTGTTTGCGGAAGGTTTTTTTTATGAGTACATGTACACAACATGCTGTAAATGCTGTAAATTAAAATGGTGATTTTAATCTGATAACTGTGTATATATATTTAAAGCAAGTGATTCAGAGGATAATAATTTGGGTCTTTGAGTACCGCTTCTTTTTGTGGTAAAAACAAAAAAGGTGGAGCAGACGAAATTGCAGTCCCTCACCACTCTCGCTGCCAAAAACCACAGCATCTGTTTCCAAAACTTTTTCTTTCTAAGAAACCCACCTTCTTTGAATGGGATGTGCTATAATTCTTGCTAAGCATGACCAGTTCTGCAAGACAGTTTGTTTCTTAGCAGTAAAGATCACAACTATGGTACAATTTTTTTTAATTCTTTTGTGATTTCTCAGAGCTTAACAGTCTCGCTGAACCTCATAAACCTCCTGTTTTTTTTTTTTTTTCAAGTATCAGGAGCTAAAGTACTTTCCGTTTACAGCATTGTCATTACCGGTGTCCTTCACATCATATATGACAGTAATGTTGTCTTCTTGCTGCGGTATTGTTTTTACAGCAACAGAGATAAGGGGCTTGTTATTGTTGTTTAAACTCAAACTGTCCCTGACCATTCCTGGACGTCACTCCAGACTCTGACTGGTTCCCACAGTCCTCAGTGACACCTGGAGAACTCAACGTTTCGCTGATATAATATGTTGACTTAATGCAACGGACCCCCTGCCCCCGCTTCCTAAAATGCTGTAAGAGGAAAGAGGTGTTATGCAAAACTCACATGAGCGCTACTAATGCGTCCGTCCTGAACAACACAGACACACACAAAAAAAACCCATTAAACAGGCGAGATATGTATGTACGTGTGAAGAAGGGCTGATTGAAAGACTCTGTTGTCCACATATTCATTTGAATTTGCATGAAGCTATGAGGCATTAAAATCCACTGAGTTTTTTTTGTCCACATATGATGAATAATAAGAAAGTCTGCCACAACATTTATGGATAGGGCACTATTGAATAGATAAGCAGCATGGCCTAAAAGACTAATGATTTCAGAGTTCTGTTATCAATTCCTGTGAATTTGGCAGCTGTTTGTAACTACAGAATGCTCTTTCAGCGTCACTTTGGCTGAAAAAAACCCCAGAATCATTGTAGACCAGGGATGAACCGAAGCGGGTGCATGAACAACCTAAATGATGGAAGGGGACACATTTTATTCGGTGTTACCAGAAAGAGGGCCGCGTAGTGCTGCACACTTACCCAAATATAGCTATTTTAAAAATGTTTGTGTTTATATACATGTTTATTACACTAACATACAGTGCAGCATAAAATCTATCAATTTACTGTTAATGCTTGTATAACAGTTGTACTCTTGTTTAATCAGAGTCAGAATCAGTTTTATTGTCATTGTCAATGAACAGGATTCACAGACTAGGAATTTGCTATTTAATTAAATATGATTAAAAAATGTTTCGCTAAAATAAAAAATAAGCACGTGAGCTGAAGTCTAACAGCATAAGATGCCTTGAGTGCAGATTCCTGTGTGGTTGTGGTTCTGGTAAAAAAAAATGCTGTTGTTCATATACTTTTGATCTGAGGTCAGCTACAATAGCAGCCCTTACAACTTCTGTCAACGCCTCATATTTAGCTTTGTGCAATGTGTTAATGCCAACTTAAATTAAAATCCTTAATGGCAGACAGCATCTCGTAGAAGATTAAACACATAGGTTTGCCTTGAAATCCTGTTAACATATAGTCTACATCCCAAAAATAAAGTACACAATACAACCCGTAGATCATATTCACACCTGATAGTATTCTGTTTGATTGGGGATCAAAACAGCAAGATTTACACTTTCAGTTGGTGCAGTTTGCATTCACACTGCACTGCACCTGTTCACCCACTAACCTATGGTGGCTCTACACCAAGAACCACTGAAGGAAAGACACAAGGAAAAGACACTGAACGCAACTTCTGTCTTCACAAAATGCGAACAAACATGGAGTGACGTCAGGTTTTAGCGGTTGTAGGATTTCTTTTTTGTTGTTGTTGTTTTTGGTAAATGTGCCAAACAAACACTCTTCAACAATGGGCTCAGCACGTGTGGAAGATGAGGCGGGACTGTGGAGAAAGTTTTTCATACAAGGCGACTGAAAACGCTTCGAATGAGGCGGCATTCACCGAGTAGGAGCACGCCCAGTTTCACAGAGGTGATGTCTATCTTATCCAAACATTGAGCGAGGTATTTACAAGATATAAGTAACTTTATTACTGTCGTTACTCAGAATGCCCTGCATTATATCAAAAAGAAAAAATACGTAGGTCCTCTGGATGGGTTCTTCTTTAGTTAAACATTTTGTCTCTCATCTAAGAGACTCCTTCATTCTGATGAGTTTCAGGTGAACTCAGCCTTATAAGCACTGCCTCCATATGGTGGACAAACAGGTTAGTCACATGCATTATAGTCCGCTTCCTGCTTTTGGAGTGGTCTCTTGTCTGCTTGGCGTTCACACCAGAGTTCATTTTAACCAAACCTACACCTAGGTTTTTAGGAGGACTACAGTTTGCTTTTTTTGGTCCGCATCAGAGTTCAATTACGGCTTCACACCTCCCCAAACTAACCGGACTTTCTAGTCAAACGAACTAGAGTTAGATTAAAGCAGACTAAACAGGGCTGGTGTGAATACGACCTCAGGGAGCACTTTTTTTAATCAAAAAAGTAAAAACGTCTTTGGTGGACCAGACAAAGGTCACCCACAGTCTGGATGTGTCCTGCAGGCCACCAGTTACCCATCCCTGTATATCAAATGGCTATGCAAGCTATGAAACATGTGGTTTGCAGGTTTATTGGTCTCAAAGAATGACAACACAAGGGTTTTTTTTATAAATATAAACTTTTATGCAAAAAACACCACACTGCAAGTGACTCTCAGCAGTGTGCTTCAGCGGCTTTACAGAGTTTGTACAGTTATCACAGTTTTAGGAATATCTGAGTTTATTTCTTAGCTATCAGTGATACAAAAAATAAAACTGTGATTCTGCGCCATCTTTACCCTGCAGTGTTTTCTTTAACACCAAACTGTGCTTGTTGTTCTTTCTCTCCTTCAGGTAACTGGGGAGGAATATGCTCAAAGTACACCGCCCTTCGAAATGGCCCCATGTCCACCCTAAACACAGGCCTGATAACGATTCAGAACTACGGACAGTTCCTGCCTCCTCGACAAGTCCAGCTGACCATGGCGCACGAGCTGGGCCACAGCCTGGGCTCTCCGGTCAGTCTTCATCGTTGCCACTCATCATCATCAGCACCCGTTGTTCACACACTCACTCTGTCCTCACGATCGAACGTAGAGTATGGGAATTTCATCACAAGATAACTGCTCTACGTTTGTAAATCCACTCATGTTATTGCAGAAGTTGTCAGCAGAAGTTCTTTAGTTAGACGTAAATGCTTGGCAGAAATGGTCTGATGTTGCAGAGTTGAAACATTATAAAAAAATCTGCCCGGAGTAACGTATTTAAAATATTTTTTTACTAATACTTAACTTGAGGACAGAACTGAGGACATGTGTGATGTGCACTAAATGATTTTTGAAGATGTGATTCAGATTTGAGTTCTAAAGTAAATATTTGTTGGACACGCAGTAATATTTGTACAACGCTTGAACAAACTGTCCGTAAGTGGGCATCAGAGACTTTGGCTTTTGACCATTTTGCTTAACGTGACTCCTGTCCTGGCGTCACTGGATGAGCCGTGGTGTCCTTTGTACAACGTTTTCCTCAGTTTATTTTCGAATACAAGCTGCTTTTGCCACAAGCCAAGGGTTTATGAACTTTTCACACAAAGCTCTGTTAGTGAGGATGACTCATGTAGACTCTTCCTCCCCCTGCCTGAAGGTTTTTCCTGAAACATGACCCCTCCTCTCTTCACTCCAAATGATTTTACTGGATTTTTTAAAATTTACTTATTAATTCCCACATAGACATAGTTACCAGAAATGTGTCTGATAGATTAGAAAGTCAAGAAATGTATTGGTACACGTGAAATGTCATGCCAGAACAGAGCTATACCTTTTTTTAAATTTCTTCTGCTCTCTGTTCTAGTTCCCCTGAGGGCCAGCTGGCTTTAAATGCTTGGCTGGTTGTTCAAAAGATTTTGTGCGTATGTGACTATCAGGTTTTCAAGATTTGTCAAATGTGAGTGACCAGTGAAGAACAGAACAACTGATTATAAAAAAAGGTAAGTGAGTTTATTTACAGGTGAAAGGGTACGGGGTTCAGACCTGATAGAGAGGAGGACCAGGTTATTGTCGGGTTGATTCAAAGGTAAGTAGTTGCAGGTAATTTCAGTTTCAGGTGAGTACTTGTTATTGCTTACAGATTCCAGGTTTTGGTGCTGCGTGGAGAGGAGGGACAACAATCCAAGAGGCAGGTGAAAGGCTTCCAGGTAGGGTGGCAGACAGACAGACTGACAAACAGATTAGTTAGTCTCCAGAGTGAGGCAGACAGGCAGAGGTCTTGGTGAGTCTCAGAACAGGCAGGCTCCTTAGGTGAGCGAGCTTGAAGAGGCAGCAGTTCCAACAGGTAAACTGGGCACAGAGGAAAAACCAAGCAACACACGATAAGATAAACTCAGGGAAGTTAAGTACCCTGAGCGGCTGAGATGCATTACATTGGTAAGCGATGCTTCAGCGAGGAACAGATCACTGGTGAGGCTCATCAGACAGGAACCGCCGCAGTTGAGACCAGTTACAGGAGACTCAGGTGAGCAGCACAGAATGTCACAGACAGCTGCTAATGCTTTGTTTGAGGAGTGTTAAATTACCCACTAGATAAACCTTCTGCAAACACGTGTTATCGAGACTTCGTAAAAGAAAGCATTAAAATCCTAGACTACAAATGAGATATTGTAGGTTTTAAAAGAAGGATTTCCTCATTGATAAAAATACAAATTTTTTTAAGCTCAACAACAACAAAGAAAACTCTGTCGTTCATTGATCGAAAAACATCAGGACGCTTAATAAGGCCTGTCTAGATAACCTAACACAAGGAAAGAAATCAACTCAACAAACCCAGTGGTTAATATTTAGAAAGAAAAAAATGTATCACATTTTTCTTTATTGACTTACTACAAAAACAGCCTTTTTTTGTTTTGAGTCAATCAGGAAATGATACTACCAAACTACATTTGAAAATACTGTTGCCGTTGTTCTGATTTTGAATAGATGTAATCTTTGCAACATGTTGGAGAAGTCGCGTCTCAGTGAACGAGTCACAGATCACCTCCTGGCCTTTCTGGGTGGAGTTTGCATGTTCTCCCATCGTTCGCATGTGGGTCCCCCCCCCCCCCCCCCCCCCAAAGGTACTCTTGTGTCCTCCCACAGAACAAAACATACATGTTTGATTAACTGGTCTAAATTGTCCCTATATGGGTGAGAGCGGTTGTTTGTCTCTATGTGGACCCTGTGATGGACTCGACCCGTCCAAGGTGTACCCCACCTCTCAGCTCTCCACAACCAAAAAGGAGAAGCAGGTTAAGAAAATGGATGGAATTTATTCTTTGCTTCTATATTCTCAACCAGTTAAGCAGGAGAAGATGGGTGGGGGCAATGCAACAGGAGGTATTTCTGTATTTTGTTATTAAACATTTAGTTTGCAGGAATGATATGGGCAAATAAAATGTAGTAGTTTTGAATCAGTTGCTTTTTAAACCATTGTATGCTGGTTGGTCCATGCCTTATTTAGAAAGAAAATATCCTGACCGTGTTAATTTGTCCAACTTGTCCTTTTCTTTTCCTCTCTAACAAGATGAAGTTTGTCAGCAAAACTGAGGGAATTAGTGCAAGTCTGATAAACAAAAAAGCAAGAATATAAAAACTTTTTTATTCCCACCTTTCTCTTAAACGTACTAAAAATGAATATTTCTTCTTTTTCCTTTTTCTAAATCACACAGTAAGACTAGTTTACCTACTAAAATACATAACACTTAAAAATATAAAATATCATTGGTGCATTTATTTTATATTATATAAATTTATTATTTGTCAAAATTGGCATTACTACAATTGTTAGAGCCAAAAATAAGGATTACATAAGTTTATATTTTGTACAAATATTTTTTGTCTTTAGATTTTGCCAATAAGTAAGGTAAACAACAGCTTAGGTTGACATATTTGGGAAATTTGTATTTTATTTTGAAAGTGTTACTTCCTGTAAAGTCTTGACCTAAGTAAAAAAAAGAAAAGGATAGACTGAGAAGGAATGCAGAAGCAATTATTTGACCCTGTTAGCCATGTTTTACTAGAAATAAAATGGAAAAGATGCAGAAAAATAATTTATTTTTGTTTTATTGCTTGTTGACATTTTTTTAGATAAAGGATTTTTGTTAAGTTCACAGTTTTGCATGTGTCTAATTTTCCAAGAGTGATTCAAGAATGACACAGATAATGGATCTGCTGCCACAATAACAATTACATGTACACCACTTTCACATACAATTCTATACAGAACTATGTATAGTGTATATGTACATACATACATGCATGCATACATACATACATACATACATACATACATACATACATACATACATACATACATACATACATACATACATAC